TATACAATTTAACGTTTCCGTGGAAACTAGATGGCATATGAGTTTATATAGCGAGGTCTGAGGATTATTTGAACTTTATTCGAGTTACAAGAGTTAACTGTTGGTCAGGATATTGCGCATCAATATCGTCATCGTAATGTATAATTTAATATAGTTACTTACGGATCATTGGATACTTATAAATTGAGAATCTTTATACTTAGTGGCTTTGTCTATTAAGTTTCATTTAATTGATATTTTCCTCAATTCAATACAAACATCTTAATTTCGAAGATATTCTCAGTCAGTAATAGCGTTGTCATGGTAACTAACAACTAAACAACAGTGAAAAAAGTTGTATGATATAATATGAAATAAATTATAATATGATGTTAAATATATTCTAAAAAATCAATAATTCATGATTTTTATATTTTTATCGTGTCTTTGAAATGCGTGTTTTGTATAGCTAGATGCGAGTGAAAAATGAAGACGCTTATTAAACACAGAATTTAAAAACAAAGCTTTTTTATATTTAAAAATATTTTAGGGTTTAAAAAATACTTAGTTACTTTAGCACACACACATTTCTTGGAGTATTATTGAAATTACAAAAAAAAAATTGTAATTTAATATTATATAATTTGTCCTAATTCTTAAGAAATACAAGAATTATGTATATTATATGTTTTTTAAAAATATATTAGCATCATATTTCTTGACTTTTTCAACATCCGAACTCTAACTACGACAACCCACGAATAAATTTACGTGCATCTATGATTGTAAGAACTAAAGAACTCGATTGTATTTAACATGGAAATGAATTAAAATCTAGAATATTTTCGTGATGTAATAATGTGGTAAATTAATGAATTAGTTAAAATAATAAAAAATAATAATGATAATTCTCCCTATAATTCTAATTACTGTTATCGCTTAAAATAAAGAAATATAAGCTTATTTAGTTACCTTTTTTCTGCAGAAACGTTTTTCTTCGCAAAAAAATGAAATAAAGTTATTTGTTTACATAAAAACGTGTAATCAGCTAAACTTATGTGCACATTGTATATTATAGTGTGAACTACATTGAAGCTATATTATATAACATAAATAAACTACTGATAAACTTTATGTAATTAATTGCTTATTTTGTAACTTCATTTGTAGTTTATTTTTAAAATGTGTTGACGGGCATTTCGGTCCATTTGTCACAAATTGCTTGTAAAAACGTGAATTCGAAAATGGTCCTACTGTGATTGAAAACCAATTTTATTGTCAATTTTTCTTTCCATCCAATTACATAAGTCAGAAATAATTATATATAGTAGCTTTTCGTTTTTTATAAAGAGTTTTTTTCTTACAAACCGGATTGTCCTGGGTGAAAATACTTAACGTATTTGTACTTTTGCTATAGAGAACCGGCATTACTAATCATTATAGCATGATTAGATCATCATCGTGGGTGTATTTTTGTATTATATATATATATATATATACCAGTGTAAATCATTAAAACGTATATGTTGGCATGTTGCTGACTCATAATCGCACAATGATAGATATTATATGTCATATGCCAGCAGTATATATACCGTACAACTATCGTGAGTTGTACTTATATTATTGTAATGGCTGTGTGAAATTATGAGGGCTTATTGAATACGAGGAGGGGGATATTGAACGATGCCTTTTACGAGACTCAAACAAGTGGTTGAGTAAATATCCCTCGCTTTGGTTAAAGAAAAACACCGGCCTAATTCTATATAGGTTACAATATATTCGCCCTAAAAATGAGTTTCCTGTTTTCATAATAGGGCGCCGAATTCGGTCCGCCGCGCTGTCGCAGGGTATATCTTTCCTCACAACAATCGTATTCCATATTGCGTTGTTTTTGAACGGAAATATGTACGTGGTCAGTTTTCGTGTTGTCTGTTCCATAAATATTTTACTTTATGTTATCGGATATTATAGCTTACTACACCTACTCCGTTTACTTTTGAACATTCTCGGACGAGAACCCGCTGAAGTTGTACCTACCTAAAATTCGGTACAGTGTTATAAAATATTATATTATACCCCAGTTAAAAAAAAATAAATGCATAACATAACCTCTTTTTATGTTTTAAAATTTTTTCAGAGTTTTCATCATAATATAAACTTATTATCGATATCGTTATGYAGCATAGTACAATAATACGAGTATATTACAAATTAATTGGCACGCATTTGTTGAATTAATTTTATCATTGCGTTGTTTTTATTTATCATTGGACGAGATTTTCCTTAAAATTACATATAATGGTATATTCAACATAACATCTGCTTTATTGCTTTAATTTGTTTCTAAATATGGATTTGGCAGTTATCAAATTTTAACATTAATATGTTCCAGAATATTTTTTTTATTTTCAGATGGTCTGGAACATATTTTTTTTTTGCAGTCGATGTTATTCAAAATTTTCGTATAACTGTACCTATACATCTTTCTTGAAAAGTTCACATAGATATTTTTATGAGTTGTCAATTTCTAGTTATTTTTTTTAACCTTTGCTACTTAAAATACTGATAGTTTAAACTATAAACTACGTGTGTACCTATCACTTAACTCGATTAAAAATCGTTAGTTAAATAATCTGCAATTTCTAAATTACAAAATGTTAATTATTTCGCGAAAATGGCTTAAATGTGAAATGATCATGAATTCATTACTTACCGCATTTCCCTGGCAAATTTATTGCCTCATTATAATCTAACAATAATTGGTATAAGTAAAGTGATTCTACAGATATAGATACTTGGAATTTGAATTAAAATGTATATTTTGGTTAAATAAACTTTATAAATTTAACTTTTAATTTATAAGCATAGGAATCGGTAACCGAACACTTATTTTAAATTGGTGGGTACAGTGATATTGTTGCACAAAAAACCGGCTTAATTAATTTAATAATATATTATATTATATTATATTTGTACGTAAATAATACAGCTCAAAGTTTTATGTATTAAATGTGTAGTAACATAATTATATTAACATAAGGTTTAGTAATAAATTTGTGTTTGAATTAATTTCGTTGATGCACGTGTTGAACGTCAACTCAGACAATATTATTCAAATATGTTTTTATTCAAGACACATTGTATAGGTTTATAGCACAGTGGCTCGAACACTATTATAATATTCAGGTATTATAAATTTAATTTTGCTTTGTATTTATGTGTTCGCTCGTTATAAGTCTTAACTACAATGACAAAATATAATTTTTGTAGTACTTTACCGCGAATATATATATTTATATATATAGCTATATAAATAGCTTTACGATTTTCACCTGTATATCTCTATATAATATTATATGCGAATCGATTATAATGACAACAGCTTAGGGTGGTAGGTATGAGGTACCTATCTATATAGATATATATACTGATAATGTATACATCACGAAATATTACCATATTATACATAATATTTTAGTATTATAATATGTTATCGTGTCTACATTATAATAATGCAACTGGTGTAATGACCTTTTATCATGGTTCTTTAGCGTATTTAATAAATTCTATGAATGTCTTAACTGTTTTAAGTAAACGTAGATTTCATGCTAATTACGATACAGATTTATTTATACATTTTTAGCGCAACTAGACGTATTAAAATAAGTAAAAGTACCTATAGTACATACGTGCGATAAAAATTAACACTTTTGATTACTTGAATACGTTTAAAAAGAAAAAGTATATAGTTTCCACCGTACCCAACGTTTAAGGTACTAAAAATTCAATAATATTCAATGACCTTCGACTTTTGGGATTTCTAAATTTCTTTCTACAAAAATAATAATAATAACAGCTCAAAATCGTTTTTAAGATAATTAATATTTTGTCATTTATTCTTATTGCCCATTCCCTCTAAGTGTGTCCTATATACACCCTAATACATAAAGTATTTATTTTTTTAATTTATTATACATAATATATTATATATGCTATAATATAATTACCCTTATAACGACTTGCAGATGTAAGATTACAATCGTATCAAATTCACATTGTATTTACTTATTATTATTTTATATTCGTTATTGTCTCCGGAACCAATAAAAAAAAAAAAAATACAAAATTTTATGATAGGTCGCATTCAGTTAAGTACATATATTTGTATAATTTTATTGAAGTAGATATTAGCGCATGTAGACGAAAATTTTTCGTAATATTCATAATAATAATATTAATAAAAAAAAAAATAATAATTATAATATAGTTATAGTAATAGTAAAAGAAATAGTAATAATAACAKCATAATTTCAATCCCACGTGGTAAAGGTACACTTTATACTCGTTTGTCATCGTATGGGTATCGTATGAAGAATAATTCTATATGAACTGTAATTTAATATTTTAAAAGGTTTATTCATATATATAGGTACATATTATATTAAGTATTATTTTGGTTCTACTGTAATTAAGAGTTAATAACTCTCTGGATGAAACTCGTATACGCAGGTACATAATCAATGTTGGTATACTGCAGAAAAAAGTCCGCTCAAAGGGTTAAAACAGTATTTTTAATTAAAAACTAGGCAAAGGAATCTCAAAACGTAAAGAAATAAGGTCCCGAAAGATTTTAATACTTAAGCCACGTGATGCAAACGACCGGAAAATATGTATTTATATGTTGTTTTTATCCGATTAATTATATATGTTTACACTGTACATATATACTTAAGTACCTTCAGAGTGGGTCAGGTGGTCTTCTTAAATAATGTTTATATATATATTATACATGTTTTGATCGCCGACAATAATATAACCCAACTGGTCGCGTGTCATTATTATATTATATTTTAATAGTCGGATTAGATATTATGATGTAGGTACATACCTAGTAATAAGATGCGTTACTTGGCGTCTTGTAACGTACTACAGTATGCAATAATATTATTACAATATTTTGAGACAAATGATGTACTTATGTAATATTGAATATCGATGTGTGGTGATGTTGTTTGCAGTGCGTTGTACCATCGTCAAATTTGGCTAGGGCAAAGTGTAGACGAATTGCGCAAAGACGTCAGGGCACGGACAACCTTTGGCGTGGGTAGGTCCCGTCGATAATATTTATGGGAATGCGCACTGGACACAGCCGAGTTACATGGACGAACATTCGGGCAGCGTCAAAGGCACAAGTGGTGGCGGCACAGACGACGCCACCACTAACGGCGACAAGACCAAAAGTATACCGCCACCGCCGCCTTTACACCATTTCCAACAGCAACAGCACCATCAACAACAACATCATATGCAGCAACAACAGCTAAACATGCATCAGCAACAGCTGCAGCATCAACAACGGCACCCGCAACAGCCGCAACAACTCCATCATCAACATCAGCAGCAGCAGCAGCAGCAACAATTACAGCACCAGCAACAACTACAACATCAGCAACAACTACAGCAACAGCAGTATAATCAACAGCAACAGCAAAGACATAATCAGTTACGCCACCATCAAATGCAGCAGCAGCAACAACAACAACAACAGTATAAACACCAACAGCAAAAATATCAACAATATCGGAACAACCATCATCAGCATCCGGCCGTAATAGCTAACAGTGCCTCGTCTGTAAACCCTGCTGCCGCCGTGGCCATCACTTCCGCGGCTACCGCAACCGCTGTCAACTCAGCGCCGTTTCAGTCACAGCTTCAGCAGCCCTTGTCCAACAACGCGGTGCACGCCACCATGGCCGCGCCTTACGCCGAGGCCGCCGCCGAACGGTCTGACTCGGGTCTCAGTTCGTCGCGCACCATCAACTCTGGTGACGAACGGTCTGGGTCCCATTCGAGCGCGTTCAGCGGCTCCGACGACCACGCGGCCGTCGCATCGCCGACCAACGAACCACATCAGACGCCAACGTTCAACAATATACCCGTCTGGAGGGACCCTCACATGTTGCAGGTATGTGTGTGTGTTTGTGTGTTTGTGTTTGCGTGTTTGAGTGCGCTTGTGTGATGGTGTGCTTGCGTGATGGCGTGCGCTTATATGTGATTTTGTGTTGCATGACCTTTACTGCAATGTCAGGGATGTGATTTGTATTTTCATTCAAATGCACCGAAAAATGTATTCAAACCATTAGAATGTGTCACGCGCGCTTACAAAAACCGGGGACGACAATCGGAGGGAAACAATTTATTTCTATGCCTAATTGCTGTATTTTTTTCAAAACTAAAAAAACGCTTATGAAAAATCATTTTTTTTTTTTTAATTAAGTACACAATTGCAGATGATGATGTTAAGTAGTAGTACTATACGCAAAAAAATACGTCATAGTACCTTATAGTCATTATGTTTTGAATCAGGAATTCATAATTATAATGGTCTTCAAATCGTTTCGATATTTGCATCAAAATCATATAAAATATATATCGGAGGATGATGATAATAATAATATAAATAAAAAATTCCATTTAAATATTTTAATACATTTATGCGAAACCGACAAAACGACTTAATGACTTGTAAACGATTACTTACGGTTTGAAATGTTAAATTGTTAGCACCATAATATAGGTATAGGTCAAATCACTTAAAACGCGTTTTGATTACTTCGATACGGTTAAATCATGAACCATACAATCGTCAATTGCCTTTGAATACATTTATATGAATTCAAGATATTATAATATACACMTTATTTACTTATCTGCAAATGCTGTTGATATTTCTCTTTTGCCATTTGAACTTGGGTATCAACAATCAAATTTGTGTACTGACATTCACACACGTTAATTCTGTAATTCCTTAATATTACTGTTTACCGCACACTAAATATATTATGTAAATAAATGGTATACTTAGTAAATTGTCGAAAAGTTTTAAAAATTGTATACGGTACCTACTAAATCAGTTAAAAAGTTTTCGCACATAATTTAATCCATATTTATTAGCGAAATTAATTACACCATCTTCATAGAAACATGCTGTATATATTCACATATAGATAGTATTATCGTGCGTCTACAGTTATTAATATACTATTATATCCGCAGTAAACTGCGAACCAAATTTCGCCGACCGTAAAAGAATTGCCGAAGGGTGACGTAACAACATCATCCGGAGGGGGTGATGCGTTCCTGAAGTAGGCAATAAATAATTTGATTGAACGTTTCAGCTTATCGTGAACATCGTACATGGCAGGAATTCTCGCAGGAATTATACTTGTGAATTTGACACACTCCGCTACGTGCACAATCGATTTTCAATTATTCATTTGGTTTTTTTTTTTCATAAATAAGTAAGCTAGGTACTTAATAATATTTAATTAACGGATTTCGAAGTAAAATTAAAAGTGATACGACATACTCGTATTTAATAAATATTATGTGCTCCACTTAAGCGGTATTTTATATTTTTTTCGAAATATATAACACGCGTAACGTTTGATGATGATAAAACATTTTCTAAACAACAAGCCAATTAAATTAAATTTTACATAATTTTCTTGTAGTTTGTAGATATAATAATAAATTATTATTTTAGTCGACAGAAAACTTTGACGTCACTGCGGTCGTTTCTCAGTTCGTTATTTTTCTATACAGGCGACTTTTGTCTCGCACATGTTAATATCTAATCATATTCGATATATTTTTATACGAATTATTAATTATTACTAACGCTCAGTAATCTCAAAACGAAGAAACACATTCATTTTTTTTTTTTGCTTCACAAAACACTTTGTATGGTTGACCTATAGTAGGCTACTATTAGTAGCTGATTGTGTTTATCTAGCTACGTAATAGAATATATATTTTTTTATTATTACTATCGATTTATAATTGGCATAATATAAGTTTTTTCGCTACACAACATTGTATGTACCTATAATTACACAATGGTTTYATATTAGACGTTTTCTTATTAAATAATATTAATAACGGTAGGTACTTGTTTGTTTGTTATCGCACTACCAGGCGACCGTCAGTCTTGCTCAGTAATTTTTTACGTAGATATCGTAACAAAACTTTCAAACAAAAGTAAATAATAATTAATCATTCCTTACGGACTTACGATTCATAATAGTTGCAGAGATAATAATTGATATATTATATGGCTGAGCGTGAATAATAAACTTAAAAAAATGTAGACAATTTTCCAAAGTGATCCTTATTTAATTTCTTGACTACTGTAATTATTATTTGTTTAGTGATAATATAATGTGTACAATGCTTTTGTTATAAAAACTTAAAATGCAATTACACTATTTTAAATATTACAGTGAATAACTCATAATTAAAATTAAATGTTAACAATGATTTAAAATCACGTTTAGAAGACAGTCAACACAAACATTTCGACTAAAGAGACTGCGACACGCCTTCAATTCGATAATAATATATAATAAAATATATAAATCACAAATAAAATACATTTATAACATTTCAACTTTGAGTATTTTCTCATTTTCTATTAATACAAAGTGTACTAGATTTTCATATAATAATATTCCAATAAACCAAGATATTATGCTGAGAAATATTGATCTTAAATAATATTGAGAAATTTAAATTAAAGACTACCGTCGAACGGTATACCCTGATAGTACCTATACATTTGTGTTTCGTGGTGGTGAAGCTATAACAATATCAATAGGTACAGAATACCTCGAAACTCTAAGAAAACCTCTCTATATAATATTATGTTGTATAAACGTTCAAATAATTATATAATGTCATGTACGACGTTTGATAATTTGCTTTGCATGCTATACCATATTTCATATTTGCACTTATACATTATAAGTAAATACTAAATATCTACCTCATATAAGATATCGATAGTTCATTAGTCATAACTCATAAGGCTTTTTCCCGTATATAATCCCTTTTTTATCACGTAAATGACCTCTATACGTGTGTTTACTGTACACATATATATATATATTTATGTATGTGTTTTATTCCGTAAGCAATAGATTTAAGATTTTTAGCAGGTTTAATGATTTATTTCTTATTTTCATACTTTTCGACCAAATATCATTCGATTATGGTAAAAGCGCGCTTACAACACTTAACGTGTTTTAAAAAAACTTTTGGAATGCAATTTTATGAATTTTATATTTTAACAATAACAACAAAATTAATATTGTGTAAAATATTGAAATATCTGATTTATTTATGTTTGTCTCATTTTACGAGAAAATTCAATCAGATCTTGTTTGTTGTCTGTAATTTCCTATTTAAAATAACATCATTACGTTAATGACATAAACTCTAGAATATCACTACAACTAAATTAACATAATATAGAAAAATATAATCGCATCATATTAATGATAGTTTTAAAATATTATTTTAACACTTGATAAATAATTACTTAAAGACATGTTTACATGCATACATAAGCATTTAACAACTAATTGACATTGAATTATTTGTAAGAAATAAATTGATTTTGTACTTTTATATTTTATATTTTTTGGTTTTAAAAACTTATCATATTTTTGGTCATTTTGTACGAAAAAAAATAATATTGTTTCTTTTATATAATGAAACACAATGATTTTTTTTAATTTGTAGGTCATCATAAATATATAATGAACAGCAGCTTAAAGTATTATTTTAACTACTTACAAACGATAATATTATATATATATATATATATGTGTGTGTGTGTGTGTGTGTGTGTGTGTTATAATATTTATAGTTCCGTTCCGTTTATCAAAGTCTTAAGTCCATTATTTAATTAACATTTATAACTACTATTATAAAACAAAACAACAATAAATAAATATAGCCATATATAATTACTAATGTATACCATAAAATACACTCTTAAAATTATTATAACTACCTATATATTATATATATTATATATATTAATTATACATCAATATCATGACTTTCATTTTTAAATTTTCTTATTTTATTTATTTGGTAAATGATATTGTTACTAGTTATTATTTAATTTGCCTTGGTGGTCTTAATCAATCAATATGTAAATTTAATTTTGATATCAATATTTTTTAATGATAAATCTATTATGTTAGTTCTAGAAATGTATACTCATTTAACTACAAAGTTCAAAGTAAAATATAAAGAACAATATTATTTTTTTATAAAGTAATCTATTTGATATTTAAAATATTTTCTGTTTTCAGAAACAATAATAATCATCATATTTACAATTTATTAAGGTTTATTTTTAAATTATTAAGATTTTACCATTTCTTACTGTTTGGAGTCAAGTTAGTTCATTGAATTTGGATTGTGCTGCAATGGGTTTTTGTTACATAATAATATTATGGATGTAAACCTTCTTTTTAAACTATTAGTTTTTTTAACTATCTTCGACTATAAGTTCTGTATATAACATAGTTGTACATCAATAAAATATTTTATCGTGAAAGGTATATAATTTAATATATTTAATGAATTTAAATATAAAAAGAAAATTAAAATTAAAAATAGAATTAAATTCATTAGATACTTACAAAAGTATACATTTAATATAATTTCTGTGTTAATAACGATTATGAGTAATATATATTAATTTTTTTCTTTATTTCAAATATACAATCTATACCTATACCTAAGAGGCACAATGAGTATATATATGAGTAATATATAAAAATTAATTATAAATAAATTTGATGAGATTATAGGTACGCTTTATAATACACAACTCAAGTAAATGATTTTAAAAATATAAGTCTATGTGGGCATCCTCGTAGTTCATAAGATACTTAAAATTTAGTTTCATTGTTGAAATTTAATATTTTGGTATCTTTATAGAAAAAATGTAAAATTTAAAAATAAATACAGTTTTGTCAAAGATTTTCCCAAAATGAATAAAATTAATATTTCATCGCCTCGTTAAAGATAATTAATGGTTTTTTGCTTAAAACGATGCAAATTATTACTCAATCCTTAAAGTTTTTATTAACTTCATTTCATTTTTACTATCAAAAATGGGAACATGCTATATTATGTTTTTGCTTATTTGTTATTGATTTAAAAAATATGATTATAAAGATATAAATAAGATCACCTTTATTTGTATAGTAATAAATAATAATAATTTAATCTTCTGGTTTTATTAAAACTGAAATGTCTCAATTTTTCATTTTTATTTCGTAGCTCTAATCCGGAGTAAAGTTAGTGCTATAACTTATATGTAACATATAATATGTGTAAATATAAATAAAATGGCGTTTAATGGAATTTAGACGAAACATAATTTAATTTAATGATTTTTTTTTCTACGTTAAATAATTTGATTGCGCTATGAGTCTTGTTATAAAATCAACTGTTTTCTTAAACTTTTCAATAATTTCCATTTAAATAATATAAATACTGCTAAACAAATTTAAATAAACATTAATTTAACAAGCTCAACCCTTACAAATCTTCGGACGTTCGACAAATTATTGGTAATTCATTTAAGCAGATTATTTTATGTTATTATTATATTGTATGTAATACATAATAATAATATGTGATTATGATATTAGTATATATTTTATGACCTTTTTTTTTTTTTTATTATACACTTTAGTATTTGTATAAGCCCAAGTCCCTACAATTTTATTGATTTACAATATTTGTCTGGCATTATATTATATTCTGTTATGAACGGAAAAATAAAATAAATAAATAATACTACATATAATATATAATTAATATAATCATTATTATCTCCGAACATTATTTACTAAATTTTTAGGAACTAAACCATTGATCCTCGAGCGTTTTACATTTTGTATGTACATTGTACATACTATATTTATAAAAGCAGTTATTCCTTTAAGACTTTAAGAGCGTTGACCGAGAATATTAACTTTTTATTTTATTATCATATTAATATTAAAACCAATTCTGCGGGAATTGCTTATTTCTCAACATAAGATAAACTGCGGCTTTGAACGGTTGTCGAGAAAAACATGTCACAAACTATCAAAGCTTAAAATAAGTACTATAAATAATAATGCGACATGTCGAATAAAGATAAGACGTATTGACGTAGTATATATAGGTGATGAATTTTACGTGTGCTAAAAGTTCATAATGATAACAATATGTTTGCCAACACTTTCGGGAAGTGTCCTATAATACATATTATTGTGTTATTATTATATGTTCAAAATACAATAATATAATCTGCGCCGAGTGGGTACTGGGTATTGTATATTTATATGGTATATATATATATTTAAATATCGCACTATTATCGATGTTTGTTTTGGTGGGAAAAATAATAATAGCTCCCACACGCCCACACACAGGTAATGACAATGACGATTATAATAAGCAAATATCATAAACTCTCGTCGGGTCGTAAAATATGGAATATCTCGCCGGTGTCGCGACAAGTCGGCGCGGCGTGTGGGGCCCATAATGCAACCCTCTACAATAATAATAATAATTATTATTATAATACTTAATAGCAGTCGGTCACAGGGGAAAGGTGTTATCGCACGTCATGTAAATATTGTATTATTATAAAACGTCATAATAATAATTACATCAATATTACATTTCAGCGTATAGGTGTTATTTACATAGACTGCCGCAATGCACGATCATCATAATATTATATTATGCGTTATGTGCGATGTAAAATATATGATGTATTATATTGTGGATGTTACGATGGATAGCGCTTAGAAAATTGAACGAGACCTACGGTATCCGAAAGTTTTATTATTCCCCCTCCCCTCCCCTGTGTGTGATATATATCGGTAAGTTATTTATATAGGATATAATTATTTTCCGCGTACGATAACAAAACTTGTATCCTTTAATTCTGTCCCAACCCGTCTGCGGTGTCTAAAACATATGACCGATTGGATCCACATCATTACCAAACCCAATGATAACCAATTGCCCTTGGGTATAGTTTAATGTAAATTTATTCATGTTTTTTTTTTCAAATAACATAATATGGAGCGATGTGTTTGTTTTGTTATATTACTTTTCAAAAAAATACAGGCATTCGTGTAACATTTGATCTACAACGGGATTATGCCAAGGCAATCAGATTGCCGCAATCTACTGAATTTGAATACGCACAATTTATTCATATTTGTTTGTCATTAGTTAATAATGATTTTAAAAATAAATCAAATTGTCAAATTTTAATTCAGTAAAATACGCTATTTTTCGGCATTGATGACCGTAGCAACTAAAATATTAAACTAATATTTTATTGGTAACATTATTATTCGAATTCGATGTAAAACCTGTGTATCATATTATATTACGTGATAACTAAAATAGATAACTAATAATATATTAATTATTAATTAATGAATAATAATTTGAAAGTAGGAATTACAAGGAATATTGCTACACAAATGCCAAAACACTTAAATAACAATTCATATTAAGAATATTATTTGAACTAATTAGATTTTTTTTATCACATTATTAGCACATGCAATTTGTATATTATTTTGTTACAATATTTCAAAGCCTACATATTATTTTTGCATGGTTTATTATGCTATGTTACCTATTGAAGAAACACCTCTAATTATGTAGAGTTGATTTGCGTTTTCAGATATTTGTATGAAATGAATACAATAATTATTCGTCTCACCGCACATGATCATTATAAAATCTCAAAACTTCCATGGTGATCAATTCAATATCCATCAATGACCGAAGATAATTGCACTTTGACTTAGGGCCAGTTGTACCGTCTACGGTTAAACTTCGATTATGCTTAATCAGCTGATAACAGATATTTAACCGTGCAAATTCGGCTGATTAAACTCCGGTTAACTTTAATCAGAGACAGAGGCGGTTTGAGTATAATGTTTTTGTGAACTGCACCAGCAATGTGAGGGGGGGGGGGTGGTCTTAGTTGAGCATGTGCTCAATGTTTAATTTTAATGTTCAATAAATGAAAAAAAAATAATATAGTACCTAATCGTGGCTGAAACTGTTGAAAGCGTCGAGTTAAGAATATAAGGACAATTATAAACTATAAACATAAAAAAATATTTATTTGTAATTTCTATGATGAAGGGGTGGGGGGGGTGAGTGAGCGTCTATATATTGTCTTGCACCACTAAATATAATACATTCAAACCGCCTCTGATCATAAATGGTACAACTAGCCATTAACGTCTGAAGCTGAACATAGTATTTATGGTAGAATACTATAATAATATAATTATTATTATAGTTTCGCATTTAAATAATCCTCATCAATGCGCAGACAATGACAGTTTAAATTATTTTAAAAATATCATCTCTGAGTGGGTCCTTCCTTCATAACATTCAAAAACTTTTCACAATAGCTTTATTTTGTTTATATTACATTTTTAGAATTTATTATTTATTTACACATAAGCATACCTACGTGTATTATACATGATAATTTATAAATAACTATATAAGCGCGAGCTCTCGTGAGTAAATTCGATAATCATCTTCAAGATGATAGTTTATAACCATGATAGACATTTATGTGTAATAATATTAATTATAGACGTCATATCTGTGTAGACTGTCGTCTTATAACCATACTCAATACTATGTCCTTATTTTGCGGGGTGCACATAATAGGTACTGCTGCCGCATCGATAATTTATTAATTATTACATAACAATAAAAAAATTTACCGTCGTTTACCACCAAAATTCATCGTTGTCATATCGCATTTTCCAGTCACCGAGCGGTCCCATAAGACACGTGGACAGCGTTCAGCACCAGAGTCTTTTCATGTCGAACACGGCGCAAATGCCGCAGATGATGTTGCCCTATCAGCCTTTTCACCCACCGTCTGTGGGTCCATCACCAGCGATACCGACACAAATTCCAGCACCATCCACGATGCAGTCGACCATGGGCGCAACCGGAATGCTGTGGAAGCCGCCTACCCCTACTGTGGGAAATGGCAACAATAATTCTACGGTGGCCAACAGCTATTACCACCATCATCGCACCAACGAACAGCAGAAACTAAATAACAGGTACAATCTAAATAATAACTCTAAATAATAATTGAAGTTATTTTAGAGTTATTTTAAATCGTTGAATTCAAATTTAACATTATTATTACATAGTAACGTATCTATACTCAATTATGATCTACTTGTCCACTCTTTTAAATTATTATAAAACAAAAGAATCATCCATGAAGTCGTAGTTTTTGGTTAAACTATTGGTATTATATTATCTATATGTATATTTTAATAATCATTCTATCGGTGTAGTCGACAGTCGTATTATGGGATAAAAGTTAACCCAAAATGTGCACATAATGCAGATTTTATTTATTTAATAATTATTTATTTATTATTTAGAGGATATTTTTAATACAATTTTTTGTTTTCTGATTTAATATATAACATAAAAAAAAAATTCTAAAAGTTTTAAAGTTTAATGCTGGGAAGTTAAAAAGGTTCTGATTGATTTATAAGTTAGATAAATGTATTATCAACAGTATGCAACAAGGTAGGTATGTTATCGTGAGGAATTTAAAATTGAAATTTATATTTGAGTAACTCAACATTTCAAAAAGTTTTAGATTCTGA